TCCACAAACTGACCTATTCCCTCCTCTCTTTGTTCGGCCTCCCTCCTTAACAATGTGTAACCACCATCCCTGGATCCATTTCCTCTGTGCTTCCTGAAACAGAGGATGTTGGGTGCTTTCGTCTCCCCTAGGTTGGAGAAGCGGGGTAGAGTTCTTGTGTACAGTGCAACTGCACAAGCCCTCACCAGCACTGGTCACGCAAAGGAACACACCCTCGTCTGTGGATGTCGTCACCTTCCTGTGTAAATGTTAATCATCGGGACACATTTTGCTATTCCTGGCTCAAATGTCTTGCAAACTTTCTCGACACTTTATTCACAGCATGTGTTCAAGGTTTTTTTTCTTTGGCCTCTGAGCAGTTGTTTGTGCGAGTGAACTATTAATTGTGTAGACCTCACTAACATCCGAACACTGTGTGGAGCGTCATTAATCCGCCTTCAGTTATCCTTCAGAGCACGTTTCTTCTTCCTACACACCCATCTCCCATTCTGCATGGAGTGTCTGTTCCTCCCACATTAGCGTGGTGTGTAGATGTGTGTGCATTTGTGTGTATCTGCGTCCTTTGAGGCTTCTAATGTGGCTCTCCAGCACAAAAAGACCGAAGTTCAAATGAGTTGGGAGACAATGGCCTGCATAACCTACCGCGTACTGATCTCAGGTACGCTCTGTGGTTTTGATCACATAGTGTGTATTAAAGGAGAGGTAAAATGAAGTCTTATTTCAACAAGATTCACACCCAGGGCGTCTCACACGGTTTGCAGACTGGCTTCTACTTCCCTTTCCTTTCTTTCATCTGCACCCATTATTTGCTGTCTTCTCTCAGTGTGGTTCATTTCAGATCTGTCACTTTTGTCACTTAATTTGTTGCTCTCTTGCCCTCTTCACCCTAGGCCATAGGCTGAAGCTCAAAATGTGGCTAGAAATAGGATTTCGCTCCACTATCCTGGGGACTACTTTTCGATAGCACTTTTCCAATCTTGAATATGTACTGGAGCTGGGAAAAAAAGTTCTCCATGGGATTCCTGCCAGTATTTGAGAAAATGGGTGCCAAAGGTGGCAGTTTACCCAAAAAAGTGACGATTTTGGGTCTTCTACCATTTTCAAACCCTTGTAACTTTTTTATTATTAAGCCGATCGTACTCAAATTTTTTATTCCCACAGACATTCATACTTACTCAGAGCTTCTAAAGCGGCAATGTTCTGCGTGCTTTAAGTACGGAGTTATTCTAAATGAAAACATACAGTTTTGAACAACTTCACAATCTCCCAAAATGTATCTTTATTGCACATGAAAACTGCAATTCTTTGAATTTTCAATTGAAAAATTCTAATAGCAAGATATCCCTTTGTGTCTGGTTAATTAATAACTATGAAAAGTGGTGTGAATTTTATCACCTAGCAAACCAGTTACAATATAGGCCATAGGCTGAAGCTCAAAATGTGGCTAGAAATAGGATTTCGCTCCACTAACCTGGGGACTACTTTTGATAGCACTTTTCCAATCTTGAATATGTACTGGAGCTGGGAAAAAAAGTTCTCCATGGGATTCCTGCCAGTATTTGAGAAAATGGGTGCCAAAGGTGGCAGTTTACCCCAAAAAGTGACGATTTTGGGTCTTCTACCATTTTCAAACCCTTGTAACTTTTTTATTATTAATGCGATTGTACTCAAATTTTTTATTCCTACAGACATTCATACTTACTCTGAGCTTCTAAAGCGGCAATGTTCTGCGTGCTTTAAGTACGGAGTTATTCTAAATGAAAATATACACTTTTTAACAATTTCGCAATTTCCCAAAATATATATTTATTGCACATGAAAACTGCAATTCTTTGAATTTTAAATTGAAAAACTCTAATAGAAAGATATCCCTTTGTGTCTGGTTAATTAATAACTATTTAAAGTGGTGTGAATTTTATCACCTAGCAGACCAGTTACAATATTGGAAGCAAAATTTTCGGAAATAACAATAAAAACTAGAAGAATCTTCAAGTAAATTTATACTGTTTATTCAATGGATCTGATATCAACTTAAGCATTCATGGAATTAATGAACAAATAATAACAAAAATAATAGTAACAACCCCCCCCCCCCACCACCACCACTCCATTCCCACACCAACAAGAGTTACTTCTTCTGTTTGTTGCAACATTTATGAATATTTACAGAGAGAATTAATCATCTTCAGAAAAACTGAAAGAGAATAAGAAGCCTACATATAATTTTTCAATTACTTTTGAACAATTCTACCAAGCACTAAGCATGCCAAAGTTGATATCTCCCAAATTTTATACATGTACATATATAATTATAAAGACCGATTCTAACCATTTATAAATCTCCACTCAGTGACTATTGACAAATGGCAATAGCAATGATAACCTGATTTTGAAAAGGGGTAAACTTTTCAGATGCCTCATAACAATAGGAAGAATCATAATCATAATTATTGATTATTTATAAGAACAATGGAAAGTATTAATATCACAACATTAAAAAATGAACTCTTATTTATAAGCTTTTCACATTTACTACAAAATTCAGTTTACTATGGACAAATATTCAAATTGGTTTTCAGAAATGAAATAGTTTCAATCAGCTAACCCGTGGGTTGTGAATTCACTCCTCTGAGGCAAGACATACTATGGAAATGTACAGGGAATTAAAGAAGGCACAAAGACATTTCTGTTTTTAAACAATTACTTTTGTTGGACCCAGCAAGCCTTGAGATGTTAAACTTTTTAGGATCACTTCGGGTTGTTACGACTTGAGAATTACAATAGAAAACACAAAGAAACTATGAATCATCGAAATCATAGGAGGGATAGGAGTCTCCTCCTATCACTTCCTGCAGGTGTTCCTAGAGCTGTGGAGTCTGGATCTGTGATTGGGAGTTTCCTGCTGCTCTGTGTTCCTGCTCTGCTACTACTCTGCATAGTGTTATTTCTGTCATAACTCCTATCATTATCATTAGTATCAATATACATAAAATTGAATTGAATTTAACTTTCTTTGTAGCACCGTTTGTGCTACCGGACTTCAATTGCGACACAATCTTTTCCACGTACATCCTTGAGGATGGATTCGTCCATTTTCACTTCAGCTGCATTAACCAAACTCCCTAGCAAAGAGAGAGTTAAAGTTCAATCATAAACCAGCTGCCAACAAATAATATCAAATACATTTTCTCTCTTTTACCAGACTGAACTGGTAGTTGGGTGACAAATTTAAAATCTAACCATTATTTGACAAATCAATTAATTGCCTATCATCACTTCAAGTTCATAATAATGATTAATAATAATAATCATTATAATAATAATTATTGAGGCCCTACATATAGCCTTCATACATCTACTTCATAATGAAGGCTAGGGCTGGCAACAATTACACATGCATTTTTTTTAAATCAACAAATGTATTACTTTAGCTTTTGATTATAAGCCACAAACAAAGATGCTGTCTGCAAATTATCTAATCACCAGTATTTATAGTTTCTGCTTGGACCAATTTACCTTTCTTTGTCTTGTGTCCCTCCGCCAACGTGCGGTCAATTCCGTCAATACACTTACGGGAAAACACGACCAGCTTCTTCCACGAACAACTGTTAGTGTCTGTGTCCGTTCTTTGTCTACCGATTATATGTGTGTGATGCATATATAATCCTCATTTTTCTTGCGTTTTTTGTCTGATCAACGGGAATGCACTGCTCCACGGGAGCAGCCATGTTTGTTGTTGTTCTTCTGTTCTCGCCTCTGAATGGGAGAGCGTACCTGAAGGACGCGCTCTGATTGGCTAACGGCTAGGCGGCTTGATTCGAGCGTACTTTACCGGTGTGATCAGGCTACCGATATAGTTACATTTTTAAGTAATTATTGTAAAAATACTGGCGCAAAGCGATTGGAGAACTTTTGGTTATGAGCTCAAAATGCACTAAGGATTTTTTTGCAGGTGTCATTTAGTAGTCCCTCAATAAGTGGAGCGAAACTTAACGATACAGGCTTCAGCCTATGGCCTACCCCTTTCTCATTCAATATCAGACTCTGTATAGTTGTGTGCCACTTGGCATCTGTTTCTCTTTCTCTCTGTCTATCAGGATGTTGACCCTGTCTCACACTTCCTGCTTCACTGACATCATCCCAAACACCCATGGAGTTGCCACCCTTGAGCTGTTTTTTTTTTAAGAATACAGTTTCTGTTTTAATTTCTGCTCTGTAACTTATATTAAATTGTAGGTTTGAGCATGTTTTGGCCTAATCAGGGCAAAGAAATGGGACACTAAGTTGATTCTGATATATTCAGTGGCTTACATAGCAGCCATCTGCTGGACACATGGGGCAGTGGCTGTTCTTGCCTTGACACATATACAACTGACAAATGAAAGGGAGGCAGAATGTGCACAACTAAATCAAATTAAGAAGAAATGATGCATTTGTAAACTCTCCACAATGCCTGGGTGCATGTGTTGACGTGGTCAATGCAATAGCCGACTTTGCTGACAGAATCATTGATATGTAGCAAAAGAAAAAACTGTGATGTGGACAAGGGGGTTTCTCATAGGCTGATTAATCTAACAGGTTTTACATTAAACTGGCCAGGTGTCATTGCACTAATTGTGTGCACTAATTGTACAAACCCAATATCAGTAGTTGAATTTATCAATTTGGCTATGCTAAAAGGTTCTTTGCAGTTTTCCTTGCCAGCCTCTCTTAAGGCAGTAGCTGGCAGATGAAATATTCTGCTGTATGTGCATAGTTCATGCATTTATAAAAGGTCATTTTCTCAGCACTGGTGAAGCACGTTGTCAGCTAAGAGGCTGCTTTGCAATTAGTTTAGTTCATTTCAGGAGTCGGTCAACCTGAGAAAACCATCCCAGATTTATTGTTTTTTTTGTTTTTTTTTGTTGCCACAAAAAATAAGGAATCTGTTAAACAATAAGAAAATTAACCAGTTTAACAGAAGTGTGGAAAAACAGGAATTTTCCTCCCTCTGCTTTCAGATCTGCCCATGGAATACAATCCTTCAGATCATCCCCGTGCTAGCACCATCTTTCTGAGCAAATCCCAAACGGATGGTAAGTTGTTTTCTTCATCAAAAAATTTTAAAAGGTTTAAAAAGTTTAACTGTGAAATAATATAATCATTGGCTTACAAATGGGCCAGAGGCTTATTGAAGTATAATGCATTGAGTACTTTTTTGTTTTGTTTTAATCAGTAATATTCTAAGACATTCATATAATCTGCTTAATTAGTACAGCTCAGTTTTAAGTTTTAAATATATGAACCCTTTATTTGAAATGCCTTAAATGCTCATGGTCCTGTTGAAATAACAATGTGTTGATGGATGTATTAATCATTTGACAGTCACAAATCCAGACAGTTTTTAATTTATTTAGATAAGTGAATTCAAGGAAGTACAACGCCATATGTGCCAGATTGCATGTTGAGTGAGAATGCAGCTCACAAAACTAATGTCAAGCAGATCAGACAGCAGTGCGCGTCTGCTTTGTAGGAAAGCAAGCTGTGTCATTTATGCAGGGATTTCTGATGTACGGTATATCTACAGTAATCGTTCATCAACATCCCTTTATCCAGCATAACAGCTCATGACAGGATCCTTTTGGGGGAAAAAAAGCATTGGAATTTCTTATCTTTCGCAGATACAGACCGATCTTGCTGCTATCTGAGATTTACCGGGATAATTTGTTGATTAAGAATTACACTTTTGTGACATAAACTGAAATAGGCAGTATTTGCTGAATATAATTTATCTGGTGAGATATAATCTGTTTAATTTAAATTAGTTTAATATCACTTAATGTGTACACGATGATAGCCATTTCAGATATATATCAGGTATATTGATTTGAAGTTTTCTCTTAAAACCCGTGCACCTTTGCTGTTTGTAATTAAGCTCCCGGGACAATCTGCTGGCCATTCTTGGGGGGATATGGGATATCATGTATTTGAAATATTTTTAAAAAATTCAAATTTTAGTTGGTGGGAGAAAAACTAGTCATTCAAAAAATAAATATGGCTCTTTTTAAACTTAACCAAAAACTTTTTCTACCCTATACGCAATCTATAATGAGATTTATCTGCCTGGGAAACGGGCCTTTAATCCTTTTTTAAAATCCTCCACCTCCTGAGTAGCTGATTTAAGTGATGTCTGTTGTAAATATATGTATCATAAGCAACTGGAGACAAATTTAACTTTTGTTTTTCAGTTGTGGTGCTCAACAAGAAAGGTAAGCGTGGAGGTGTGTCCGCTTTCAGAAAGCTGGTAATACTGTGCCTACTGTGTGTTTGGGCCTAACTCTTTGGAGAATGGTCTATTCGTTCAGTCTGAAGTTGTTTTCTTTTCCTGTACTTGATTACCATTGCTTATGTGCATTTGTTGCTGAATCGCTGATATTGCTTTGCGTGTTTCTTTCATTGCACATGCTTGTCGATTAGATTTATCATTTATAATAGCGCATGGCCTAATCCAAAACTTTTCATAAAGAAACTTCGACCTATACATATAAGAAGTTAAACAAAGCTGAACAAGTACATTTTTTGTAAAAATACACACTACTGTGCTTGTTATGATAGTTATGATGTGTATTTTATGCCGTCCTATTTTTAACTCAATATTAAACAAATATGAAACTTTTTTTGCAGCATCAGGGTACAGTCATGGCTGCTCAGTGCATTAGATTGAGAGGTAGTGTGCTTCAGTTAGCGAGGATACAGAAAGTAACGAGATGAAAAGTGTGAGGTTACGCATTAGTTCGATCTAAGTGTGATTATGCATCATCAGTCTGCTTCACTAAGCTTTGCTAGCATTCTTTTTTTTTTCTTGTTGTGAATTCAGCTAATCCAGGCATATTTACTGTACCACAGTGGCCACAAGTTTACACATGTACATCGTGGAAATAAACGTCATAGTAATATGTAGCTTAATTATTTTTTACTTTGAAGTTTAAAATGTATTCTCAGTATTCTTAAACAAATAAGAAGTTGAGTTGTTTACTAATGTAATAACCATAAAAGGTGCTCAGAGAACATCCAAATAACTGAAGAGCTCTTAAATGCTAAATGAGCACTGTTTTTACCCTTTAATTTCAGTGAATATTGTTAGAATGTGTTTTTTCCTTTCGTGCAAGACCTGCTTTGGGCCCAAATTATGTTAGTGTATTTTGAAACAAAACCTTATAACTGAGATAAGCTCTTCTTTATTCTCAAAGTCATTGTATGATTAGTTATATTATTTTAGTTTTTCACTCGTTTTTCAGGTATGATATGGTAAAGATTATGCAATGATTAATTTAAAGCCCAACATTACCATGACTTTCCATGATAAATCCAGCTTAACCTCAAGTTCGAACTTTTCTAATATTGTAGATGGGTATGGATGAAGAGATTGACACACTGCTGCCACATCCATGTCTCTTTTGTGTGGAATATAGCACATCGATAAAGATACAACTTAGTACTCAATAAAGTGGGCTTTATAACTCTTAACAAATCATCATATCTATTAAAGAGAATTAGCATTGCAAATCGCCAAATTTGCATGAAGACAGTTAAATGAAAAGAGACTAACTCGAATGACAAGCTGCACTTGAAAAAAAAACGTCACTGTGCTCGATTTAATTTGAAATTGGTTATGCCATAATGACTAATGACTGAATTAATTAGTCCACACTCATTCCCACCCAACAATACACGTTTGTTCATTTCATAGACAAGATAAACCCTTTAGGAGCTTTAAAGGAGTGTTTGTTTCTAATAAAAGTGCCCTTTGCTGAGTTTGTAGGGCTTTTTCCATTGCTCTGTAAATTGCTATCAGGGAAAAAAGACATTTATCAATTATTGTATTAAGATTTGTGAGTGTGAGCTTCTGAGCCCTGGAGAGATGCTGCGCCCTATCTGTTAGGGCCGAGTACTGCATTGATACTCGGACTGAACATGCCCCCTTCCTCTCGTCTTTCTTTTCAGTTCGAGAAAAGCGAAAGAGCCTCTACATCAACCATGTAAGTAGGAACCCAGACTTTTTTCATTTAAACCTTTAACCTGAACCGATTTATTCGGTTTTGCTGATCTCATGTCCGTGCACAAAATAATTTTCTTGTCTTGTATTTTTTGCAAGTTCACACATATTTCGGAGGACAAGGTAAAGACGGCATGAGCCTTCAAAGTTCTGTTTGTTCCTCTTCATTGTTTATAGTTTCCACATAATCCTGTTCCCTAGAAATGTATTCTTTTTAGATACACGAGAAATTAATTAAACTGTAATGCTGTTTGTTTTAGTCTACCATTTCCAAGATTTGTGCCCTTGGGCTGTTTAACTTTATATTGTGCAATAAAATACAAATTCAAACTACAGATAAATGAAGACAGTGACAATAATATTAATAAGGCCAAGAAACTAAAGTGAAAATGCATTCCACCGTGAATTTTACCCCTGTATGGAGACAGGCCCTAGAAGTCTCCTCCTCTCCATAGCTGTTAACAGATTGTTGGCTGCTTGTTGTATGACCAAAGTGCAGACCGACATGCTTGTTCTGAAATCTGATTGATTTGTTTTCTTTTCTTTTTTATTTGTATGTGTAAATACCAATGACAGCATCATCCAGGCCCAGTGAGACGAAAGTACAGCTCATGTTCTACCATATTCCTTGATGACAGCACCGTCAGTCAACCAAACCTCAAATACACTATCAAATGGTACGCTTTTTGATTGTCTCAGAGTTAATAGACTCCTTAGTCTATTTTCAAATATATTATTAGCTGTGTTGTCCCTAATATCCTATTTTTTTGTCTTTACAGTGTATCCCTCGCAATATATTACCACATTAAGAACAGGTATGCTAAATATTTTACATTTCTTTCTCACTGTCATCCACTGAATCTACTGAATGCACTGTAAATTAAATGTGCTAGACAAATAAACGTGCTTCGCCATTATTGACCTTAATATTTTTTTTTTTATCCTGGCAATTTGCCCTTTGTTGCATGTCAAAAAACACTTTTTCTTTGAGTGCCTTGCTATTCGTATATTGATATTTTTTTGTCTTTCTCATTCCAGAGACGTCGACGGACGAATGTTGTTAGACATTTTTGATGAGAAGTTGCACCCTCTCACGGTAAGGCCTTAGCTGCGAATACATTTTCATTACTTGGAAGCGGTTGAGCTGTCAGGATTCATCAGCAAGACAAACCACATAAGCCGACGAACGGCAAATAAACAAACATGCTTCAAATTGTGTGTATACCTGTCTTTGCATCCCTGGAGCCATCCTGATAATTCAGAATTATTTACCCAAGAGTCGCAAAGCCCCACGATGTACTCAGCTACCTTGCCTGATGCTAGACATTTAAGCGGTTCCAGTCAAAGATAAAAATCACTTTCCGAAAGGCTTGTGTCCATAATGCTTCAGTGGATCATTTTAAGTCTGTTTTCGTTTTGTTTGTTTTATGTAGAAGTCGGAGGTCCCTGCTGATTATGACAAACACGACCCAGAGCAGAAGCAGATCTATCGCTTCGTCAGGACACTGTTCAGTGCTGCACAGCTCACTGCTGAATGCGCCATTGTCACTTTGGTAAGAAAATATGGTGGTTGAAATGCACATCATCATTATTATTATTATTAGCTTTTTTACTAAATTAGATTTGTCAACTGTGTTGATCCCTTGGGAGGTTTTCTCTTGGAATGTAATGCTGCAGTAGCACTGCTCTGCTATTTAAAACATGTAAAAAAGGAAATGGTAATTAAAAATTGGCAAGCATATTATGTTATTGTTGTAGCATAGACTTTATAGCACAGTCTGTTGCTTCCCTTCGCTGAGAAACGTTTTTTGGTTGGCTCTGTGTGAATTGTATTATTTTGTTAGAATGGATTGGTTTATTATAGTATTACAGTGAATTGGATTCTAATTGGTTAGATTTGGATTTTATCATTTAATGGCCAGAGATGACATTTATTGCGATTCTGCACTGTGTTAAAAAGAAAAAAATTGAATTGAAGATATTAAGCGTTGTTTTGGCATTATGAACAATTGGCTGTTCCTATTACTTCCAACAACAGAAGTTATTGCACGGCTATGTTTTTATTGTTTGGCGTTATAGTTGTGCCTTGTTTTGTGAGCGCTGCGGGAAATTTCGAGTGCAGACTTGAGCAAAGAAAAAATTCTGAGCTTGTAGAAGTGCTATTTTTGTGTTTGCCCTTCTCCATGAAGATATAAAACAATATACTTCCCTCTCATCATTCATATGCTCTCTCATAGATCTCTTGACACACACTGAACTTGCTAAAGTGTCATGCTTTTTCCTCAATGTGAATGGGGATAAGCGATGGATGGATGGATGGATGGATGGATGGATGGATGGATGGATGGAT